TATTGTTATGCAATTCCATTTTCTTCACATCCGATTTCAGAACGTATTTTCTTATCTTTTGTATTGTAGTAACGCATTTATTATGAAACAATGCAAACATAACTTCCTTCGGTAAACAAGGAACGGCGCGATTCCGCAAAGCTTTGCATTTTGTCGATAATATTGCCTATAGTGATAATCTTGCTATATCGGACTTTTCAAGGATATTGACGCAAGAGCGGCATTAAAATCAATGATGAAGCTGACAAATATTATCTTTAAATAACAAATTTTATAATTTATTGTCTAGAAACCAATATAATTATTTTTAATACAACTTTGACGATTTTTCATGCATGTAGTAAAGGCATGAATTTATTCATAAATTCAGTTCTGTTAAGATTTGTTTATTTACTATTTTATTTCAGATTTTGACGTCAAAGAAAAAATACATAAATAAAAATTCTTATAAAATATATTAATATTTATAGAATAATATAAAAATTCCATTTTATACATTTAATGTAAATAAAAATTATATTAAAATGTATTTTTAAATAAAATATTTGTAATCGATAGAATGGATTTGTAAAATACATTGGTAACTCTCCTTCTTGTCCGATAATTAATAAATAATCATATATTTGAAATTGAATCACACCTAACTAGAAACAAGCTTGTGAAAGCTATTTAATTGAAATAAATAGATTTTATTCTATTTCAAAATAAAAGAAAACTTTTCAGTATATTTTATGAGCGTATTCTATGAAATACAAATATTGTTTTACTAAAATTTTTATTATATTTTGCAAGAGAGAGAATTTTCATAATGTCATTAATCTTAGTAAGTGCTCAGAATCTTTAAAAAGAATTTAAACAGCATGAAATAAAGAAAATGAGTCTATTATTAAAACATGAATATCGATAACATTTGTTTAATTTTATAATACAATCCTTATTGCGCGTGCAATTATTGCATCGATGCGTAGATCTAGCAGCACGATCTCACCCCTTTTAATTAAAGACTTTAATTTGACCTTTTTATTTTATTCGCTTATGGGATCAATCATGTATTAAAACTTGTTAGCCATAACGTCAAAATTTTCTGAGCCGCTCTGAACCTCCCACCCAAAAGCCGGACTTCCTAGTTGGATGTCCTCGGCGCAGATGCGGCTTTTGGGAAGGGACATTTCTCGGTGCCGGCAACGGCCGCCAGTCGAGGACGTCGATCATCAGTGCACGGGATGTCATCGGCAAGATAAGACCTCACCATCGGTGTGTGATTCCTCCGTTTGGGGTCGGACCGTCTTCGGAAGATTTTGTTGGATCAGCGCACTCGTCGTAAAATCTACCGGAGGTTCATCAGAGATCTCGTAAGTGTTAATCGAATGAGATACGTCAAGGAAAATGACACTGTGCGTATTACATAAAAAGCCGAACTTCGTACAAAGATGCTAAATTTTTGGGAAGAGAACGATACAATTGCAGCACGATGGGTCAGGGAGAACGTGTTCCGCCTGATAATGTGACAGTAAACGCGAAAGTATCGAAAGCGGATTTCTATGGAGTACAAAAGTCTATTGCTTCATCTTGTTCGATTCTTTTGCCAGTGAAAACAATCGGTTAGCATACCGACGCTAATCATGCTCGATTCAATTTTCTCCCCTTATTTGAATAAGATGAACATTATACTCACATACACACACACACACACACACACATACACACACACACAACATACGCCGTATGTATCATGTATTATCTTTCGAGAAAATGAATCGCCTTTTTTACAAGGCTAAAAATTCTAAAAATTTTTTCACGATACGAATTTAATACGCAAACAAATGAGTTGCAAGTACAATTAATTAATAATGGTGATTTCAAAAGAATTTTATTTGAAATAATTACAGATCTTATATCCATATAGCATAGGCCTTCAAGAGACGTTTTAAAAACATTCAAAAAACATCCTTACATTCTATAGTTGCTTCCAGGACATCCCTCGGATATAGTATGCTGTATGGGTAGGAAGTACAGGAACCGGTTCTGACTCGGTTTTTGCTTACCTTCAGATCGACAAGGTTAAAGCAATATACTAAGCCACGTGCACCATTCTTAATTATTAATGCAAAAACTTACAATAAATTTGAACTCTTTAATTAGCTATTCTAATATGCTGTTATATGCGCACATAGTTCTGGTTTTTTATATCATGGATAAGGCTACAAAGTGTGTGCGAATTATTTTCTTTCATTTTATCATTAATTTTGTGTCAGGCTACTTTTGGAGAGAAAATACTACTAGTCCTATCAAGTCATTTTGTCCTTGTTTTACATCTAATAAACGATAACATGAAATGCAATAGTGCTGATAACACACTCTCTGAACGCAAGTTTGACATGATTTTCATCATTCTTTGAAGTTTTTTAATTGACAAAATTGTTTTATTAAATAATTATTAACGTTGTCGATATTATATTTTATTAATTTATTTTGATATGAATCTTGTGGGAGAGATCGCTGATAGTCAACTGTTAGTTGTTAATAAAATTATTTATTTAGATGTGTGTGTATGTGTCAAGTTACAATTTTAATATTTAATATTTGCAACACGCATGTCGTAATAAAATTCGTTATAATCGAGAGAATGAATGATTATGAACGAAGATATTATTAGCTTTTACTGTAATGTGAAGTATGAATTGTTCGTGCTAAACTTCAGTCCAAAAACCCTGACCCTCGGACACCGGAAATCAAGTCTATGTCCAGATTTTAATTTCTGTCAACACAAGGCTCACAAGAGAATGACATAATCCAACATTTTAAGATGAATCTGTTGACGTCGCTGCAATTCGTTCGTGGTCTTTCGAAATGGTGCGAGCGCAACCTGCATTCTTATTGACGGGACGAGGAACGCCGTCGACCGCCCAGACAAATCGATAAACCGGTGCGAGTGGTGTTGCGGCGGTGGAAGATATCCAAGAGTCTAGCCACCTCCGACCGGAGAGCGTCGCCGGATTGATTTTTGTGGAGCGGTAACCGCGCTGCGCGAGGATGATGACTTGTTGGGTCCTGGTCGGGGTCTTTGTAACCATCGTGCTCATTTATGGCCTCATCGAATTTCATTATTTTCTGCGCATGTTCCTCACCGTCTTTCTCGCACGTTATTGCAAAAAAAGGGTGCACATCCTTGATGAAACTGTGATTTATGGTACGTGAGAAATATACGTTGAATTTTAATTAATGAAATCTATTGATATACCTTATCAGCATTAATTTTTTGAAAATGTATTAGTACTTAGAAAATATATGTTTAATCGCAATCTTCCAGTTACATAAATTACGCTATTAATTAAAATTCATTTTTATTTTTGAAACAGTATATAATATAATACTGTAAAATAATTAATACAGATTTATCTGGTAGTAATTTTCATTGTAACTTTCTGGTAAAAAATTTGTCATGTATAAATATGTATAAATAAATTTGCATGTATAAATATGTATAAACATACATAACCACGCATAAATATTCATAAACATGTATAATTATATATGAAATATATCCATACATATTCATACATCCTTCTTTCTTTTGTAAAATTACTTTTTAGTGTAATAGAAATAATAATAGTAATGTAAAAACATAAAATATAATTAAGGGATAATTTTTGCATTGTTTGTTTAGAAAAAAACAAATTGGAAAAAAATAAAAAAAATTGTTCATAATTTATATAATTATGCATAATTTTATATATAATTATACGTAAATAATTTTTTACATTTCTTCAAACTTGATTTTTTTCTAAAACAAATAGTGCGAAATTACCTTTTTAATTATTTTTAATGTTTTCACGTTACTATTATTATTTGTATTACACTAAAATATAATTTTATAAAAGAAAGAAGGATGTATGAACCCGTGTATGAACATATTAATCCATATATAATTATACATGATTATGAATATTTATACATATTTATACATATTCTTCCATCAAAAATTTTTTACCGAGCTTTTTATTGAAGAATAAGAATTCTTTTTCAAAATGTGTGTGTGTGTGTGCTCGCGCACATTTTAATGATATAAAGTTAGAAACATGAAAAAATATTTTTATATTATATTCGACATGAAATCCTTGCAGCTTTGGCGATTATTCTAACACAACACTTAATTAACTATGCATAGGTAAAATTAAATACATAGGTAATTTTGTTTAATAAATAAATTCTAACACGATTGCAGCCATTTAACGTTAATTAACGAGATATTAAAAAGTGATTACGTTAAAGAGCTATCACATTCATCGTTTTATTATTATGATATAATTTTTACAATTTTAATTATTTTAACACAACGATATAATTAACCATGTCTATAAAATTGAGAATATATTGACAATTTAATTTGTTCAACAATTTCCAATATAACCACGGTAATGCAATATCAAAAGGTGATTATGCTGAAGAGTTATTGCACATGTCGTTTTGTCGTTATGTTATAATCCTTACAATTTCGACTATTTTAACGCAACGATTTAATTAATAACATCTATAAATACACCTTAATTTTTTTATATACTCTATTAATAATTTAATTTTAATTAGCAAGATATTATATTAAAAGACGATTACATCGTAGAGTCGTCACACATGTCGTTTTGTCGTATATAATCTAGGAATCCTTACAATTTCTTTCGGTCTCTCAGTTATCTGTCTTTTGTTAACCTTGATCTGTATGCAGGAATTAGTAGGTAGAATGTCATAAATTCATTGATTGCGCAATAACGCGCTTGAGTAGTTCAAAATACCAATCTTAAATTTCTTCCCCATGAAAAAAGTATTCTTTTTAAATTTATGTTACTTTTCCTAGCAAACAGTTACAGAGATCTTATTTTCTTAGAAAAAATAAAGAAATACAAACTCGAAAATTTTAGGACTTTATTCCTAAATTTTCAAGCTAGTTTGTGATTATCAGAGAAATAACGTGCATTTGCACATTTGTGAAATATTTTTGCACAAAATAAACTCTCAAATAAAATACAAGTCATTATAATATCAAAATAATACCAAAATAGCTGCAAATCTGATTATTAAAAGTTATATATTAAAAGTTACGTTTCAATCAACTACAACTCATTTTGACGTTATTTAACTTTGTTATTCTGTTTAGGCTAATATTACCTTTACATAAAACTAAATTTGTCAGTAGGTATCGTAAGAAATTGCTCATTAGTATATCAGACATTAAAATCCTAATTAGGAAAAAGAATTTTGTAATATTGTTAAAATGAAATTAGTTAATAGAATTGCTAATCAAAGCCAAACTCAAAGTAAACGTGTGTTATTAATGTAAAACAATTACAGATTTTGATTTGACGTTTAAAATCCTTCTAAATATTAATAAAAAAATTAAAATATACAAAATAGAGTTCAGTAAAGAGTAGTCGTCAAATAAAACGCAATTAATATTAAATATTAAAAGGAGCAATGCGCTCAGACATAACACATCGAGTCACGAAATTATTTTACATTATACATCTCGTCGCATTATTTTCTTTAATACGCGTCTTATATACGTATAATGACTATTCTATACTGAACTCTATTTTTATATTCTAACCCGATAAATAATTTTTCGTGCATGTATAAATATGTATAAAAATACATTATGTATAAGATATGTCCTTCTTTCATTTGTAAAATTACTTTTCAGTATACTAAAAATAATAATAATATTGAGAAAACATCAAAAATAATTAAAAAGAAAATTTTCGCATTGTTTATTTTGGAAAAACTCAAGTTTGGAGAAATATAAAAGAATTGCTCATATATAATTGTACACTGAAAAAAAAATCTTTCTTTCAAAGAAATATTTTTTTGCTCGTATTAAAAAAAATTATTTTTTTGGATCAATGACCATTTCTTTGAAAATAAGATATTGTACAATAAAAAAATCTTAATTTCAAAGAAATATTTCTTTGCTCGTATAAAAAAAATAATAAAACGTATACTGTACAATATATATATTGTACAATATCTTATTTTTAAAGAAATTTTCATTAATCCACAGAAATAATTTGTTTTAATACAAACAAAGAAATATTTCTTTGAAATTAAGATTTTTTTTTTCAGTGTAAAATTATACATAGTTACGAATGAGCAATTTTTTTTGCATTTTTCCAAATTTAATGTTTTCTTAAACAAATAATACGAAAATTGTCTCATTAACTATTTTTGATGTTTTCTCATTATTATTATTTTCACGAAAGAAAGATGTATGGACATATTTAATATAAATTG